ATGTCAAAAAAACACACAATATCACAGAGCTCCAAAACAGCACTAAAAATGTGAGAGAACAGAGAAATCTGCTGCTTTTTTATTGTAGAACAACCAGGTATAGAATGAGTGTGTATATAACAGATAACTCAGGACAGATAGGAGTTTGTAAATCATTTGTACACTCTCCGCTCAGGTGAGGTAGTCATGCAGCTGGTTTTGGAGGCAAGCGTGGGCTAGCAAGCTACTAACACACTGAATCATCTTCACTCAGAAGAATTATTACAAATAAGTTGAGCCAGAGGCTTGAAAGATACACAGTCGTAGTAGTCCCTGTATGACCAAGTCCACCCATCTTGTTGCCTTCTGTGTCATTAGTCTACATGAAGAAGTGGTTCAGCTCAGAGGATCCTCAAAGCTTTTTTCTGTGGTGCAAGTTTTCTCAGCTCTTTCTGTGGCGACTGGAAATTGTAATGACTCCCTGTTTCCCAGTCTTCCTAATTATGTTGATGGAGAGGCCTCTTTCGCTACAGAGCAAGGCTATGGTTTGCTTAAATGCAAATGCCTTGAGTTTGGAAGAAAAGATTCCAGGAATTACCTTCTTCTGTATATAGGATAAGAGGTTTTTTTTCCCTTTTATTTTTGTAAAGAAGTATGAAATAAAACCATTTATTACCAACGTAATCAGAACACAGAGTACCACACTCGGAATTATCATCATATTTTCAAAAAGCAGGCAAAATAACAACCTAAGATAATAAAGATGGTTTTGTTGCATCTGGAAAGGACTAGATGCATTTTTTTAAAAATTAATTTTACTCTTGAAGCAGAGTGTCACCCGCAGACCAGAGTCACACAATGCTAGATGCTTTAAAAACTGTAGACTGTGCTCAACATTTACAGTACTCTTTCTGTATACAGAAAAAGAGCTAAATTAAGGTCTCATTTTATGTCTTTAACAATGAAAAATGGTGTGATAATTTCAGCAGGCTTCTTCAGGGACTTAATTTTACTAATCCTTGTCTTTGTTGCAGGCTGGAGACATTCTATGAGGCATACCATTTATTACTTGTAGAAATGAGAATCAGCTAGCAAAGGGCTCGAAAACCCTGTATAAATTTTAAGGAAAGAGTTTCTTGAGCTTCAAGGCATTTGAGTGAGGCTTGCTTTCCAGTCTAACCGGGTTGTTTCCACTCAGAAGAATTATTACAAGTTGAGACAGAGCCTTGAAAGTTTTACAGTCATGGTAGTGCCTATGTGATCATGCCCGCTTGTTGCTTTCTGTGGTCATTACCTTAGTCCACACAAATAATTGGTTCAGCTCAGAGGATTCTTGAGAGCTTTTAACGTCGCACCACCAAGGAAGGCTGTATTCAATTACTTGATGCAGAATCTAGATGGATTGCTCTCACTCCTGGTCTCTGCTAATTAAATATGCTTGAAACATATCTTGTCAAAAACACAGCATAAACTCAAATGTAGATGTAAATGCTTCAGATTTCTTTTAATCTTTGAGATTCATGTGTATGATTCTGTTTGAGGGAATTTTGTAAAGTCATTCAAGATAAAGTCTGCATCTCAGTCTTCTGAAATACTTCTCTATGCAGTTGTGTTTCTAATTGTTAGTGGATTTGAGTGAGGGGAGCTCACATTCGACTAGAGCATAACTAAATAACAGACAATCACTATTTTGGGACTTATCTCATGCTTTAAGGTGGACACGACCAGGGAATTTGATCATTAAGTTATAAACACTTGCCTCATGTTTACATATATTTTCCTTTTGGGAAAGGTACAATCATGCTTTCTCTCTTTGTTTCCTCTCTGAAGAGAGAAAATGATCTCGTTTTTTTTCTAGGCATGAGTAAGATATAGTCCCTGGAAATGCTTCCATAAGGGCTAAACAATTAAAATATCATTTAGATATCAATGACACTAGGTCACTGAGAAAGACAAGCTTCTGACAAGGATTTGCTTTTCATTAAAAAGATCTTCATGAGCTATTGCAGAAAAGTTTTGATCCCAGACAGTGTATTTTATGTAACAACCTCCTTCGTTGGAACTAGCTGGTGATCTTTCTGACCTCAAAGCTGTCCTCAGGGCTTTGATCAGGCTTGATTTTCCCTGTAAATTTTCAAATGCTTCCTACAATCAGCATTAGCTTCTGAAATCTCTAGGGCACAGAAAATTGCTTTTACTTGTTGCTGTAATTGATTATTCTATAGCCTCAGACATTTTTGCTAGTGCTTTTCTCCTATGGTCTTGCTGGTAGCACTTCAATTCTTGGTCATTCAGAAAAATAGGCAGTGGATCTGCTACTGCTGTTACCTGGTACTCTTACCTGAAGTCCTAAGGCCAAGGGAGGAGTAGTCTCACATTCAACTAACCATCTTTTGTTCTGATGTACTCTGAAAATTCAGAAACTGACTCTAATGTGCATGTATTCCCATCAGCATGAATCAAAAGGCAGTATTTTGCCCTAGGATGTCCACCTCTCAGTTGCTTTCAGGAAAAAGCTAAGTTGTGTGCACCTAAAGGACAGATATGGCCTGAACTTTGACTTCCCAACAGGACAGTGACAGGCTGAAAAAAAATAATTTGCCATCTGCTGAGTGAAGAGAGAAGCAGGCTATCACTGCTATGCAAGTCAGAGGCTATCCACCTTAACCTCACTGATGTCCAGACAGGTTCTGAGGTCCTTTCTACTGCCAGCAGTCTGGCATTTTACAATATTGGCCCACAAAGCAAGTGAGATGCCTGCAGTTCTTATTACCACTAAAATAAAGTGCAAAAAGCCACCACAGAGTCATTGAAGTACTTGCTAAGCTCTAGCACCTGCAAGATTCATTCCATGCAACCTCTTTACCTGAAAGTTTTTTCTTCAGACTGCAGTACAGAATACTTGTCTTTAAACCAGTCTGTAAAATGCCTTCACAGACTGTCAGTACCATGTCACAAAATAGTAAAAAAATCACAAAATAGTAAAATTAAATTGTACTTATGTGGGCCCAAACTATCATTCTGCCTGCTTGACTTTTTTTCTCTATGCCTCTTCACTTGATTCCTAATTTATACAGTTCATCTATCCTTGTTGAGCAAATCAGATCATAACATGAAATATTTAGTTTCCAACACCAGTTACAGCCTTTAGGAGAAATGTAATACTGTCTTATTAAACCTTATCCTGTACTTTTAACAACCATCTTTTTTGGCTAGAACAGAAACAGGAAGATAAGACTCTTGGAGTATTTAAATCAGTGTTTTACTGACCATGAAAGACACTATCTGCAAAACAATCAGTAATTAGCTCACCTATCTCACTCCATGCAAGAAAAGCTAGCCGTACATGATAAATGTGAACTGTATAACTGTTTAAGCTTTGAATTGGATCTGCTGTCTGGTGCTCTTGGCCAAAGTACTTCTTCTGGCTTAGGATTCAGGACCCTCATGCTATATACTTAGCATCACCCAAAATAAGTAGGTCACAACTGTAGAATTATGCAGGTGCATTCACTGATACAAAGTCTTTTGCTAACTTCCAATTTAATTATAATTATTCCTAAAATGCATGAGAAATTGTATGAGTAGCAATGCTACCTCATTTAGTTTGAGATTGAGAAGTAAAGGAACAAAGATTCCCACTTAGATGAAATCAGAAAGGAGGGAGAGAGAAGTTCATCTTTATTACAGACGCTTGTGAGACAATTTGCTCCTGTCTTTTACTGTTCTTGCTACAGTCTCACCACCTCCTCCCCAGTGAGGGAGCTGGATGCAGTACGGCTGATGTCAGTGCAAAAGAAATAATCTTGACCGATGCCGCTTCCCTGTCTCCTCTGGGTGTTCCCATGATTGTGTTGCAGTGAGGAAAGTATTTCAAATCTTCCTTAATTCTTAAATAGGGTTCCTGAGCACTGGGGTAACTCTTGTCTTTTCTTTATGCTTTCAAAGAGAGAAGCTTACAAGGAAACCTTAAAATTCATAAAACACCCCATGTGGAGAGTACCATTTCAGGAACTCTCAATATTTTTCTATGTAGGTGAATCACTATGTCGCACACTGCCTATGGCAATTCTAAAAAAATTAAAAGGTTTGGAGAAGGTGATGACAGCTCTTCTACATGTTCTGTAACCACCAGATGTCTCGTCTTTCAGTTTGCTCCTACTGTATTTCTGGATTCAGGTGTATGCCCCAGTGCGCTGTCACCACTTACCTTGTACCTCAGCCTACACAAGTGCTGTTCCACCTACACAAGTGCTAATGAATGTGGCTTTGATAGGAATCACACTGTCAATGAACAAGAACTGGGGGAAAGATGAAATATACATAGGAAACTCCACATAATTTCCAATTTTCATTTCCACACACTTCCCTAAAGAAAAGTTTCCATTTGAAATTCATAACAAAAACTGAACTTTTGGAAGAGTGAAGGCATTTCAGCTAAAATGTGAATTTTTTAGAACATCTGTGGATCAAGCTAGCTCAGTGATGCATTCTTATGAGATGAATAGTGCATGACTTCATGAAGAAATTTACTTCTTTAGAAATACTGGCTGAAATATTTTCTGGATATTGATTACTGATCAAACAATCTGCAAAACAATTGGAATTAAGTGGTGAAACAAGGACAGAGCTACAGACTTGCTTTTCTTTTGATTTCTAGAATGGCTGTTGTTAGTTGTCACATATTTTTAAAAATTATATGCAACCATAATAACATAACCACAACATTAACAGAGAAAAAAAATATGGACAGTCTTATGGTGTGTTAGCATCAGATTTTATCACGCCTACAGTTTAGCAGTTTCTTTTTTTCAAAGACGAGAGAAAGTCTCCACCAGAACACAGGCCATAGCCTTGTGTCTGTAAAACAACATTTCTCTGCTACGAAGGTGAGGAAGAATTGGGCAACCAAGTGCCAGAAACAAGAGCATAGCATATAACAAAGAGCAGGGAGCAACAACACAAATCAGTGTGGTAAAGAAGAAAGGAAGGATTATGCTGGCCATAAGCAGATGGTCTACACTTGCCTCTTTTATCAGATTCATAAATCTGGGTCCAAAACGCCACGGCTTGTGTCTGTGGCACTGCAGGGAGCTGACAGTCATCTGGGAGGCACGCTGGGAGGCCACTGCTACCATGTAAACAGCATCGTACATCAGAGCTGCTTCAGTCTGTGTGAAAAAACAGAAAAGCTTTCTTTAATGTCAACCTTTGTGCCCGGTCCCTGCTTTTCTCTACTGAGAACCATTCCCTTGGGCTACTGCTATGGAAAAGGCCACTACTGGGCTCTCCACAGAAATCCGAGGTGCAAAAAAATCCTTATTTTTGCAGCTTACATTAATTTCAGAGTATTTTCGGGTGAGCATTGGGAAGAAAACTTTGGTTTTCTGGAAGAATGGAAAGCATTGGGTACCTACAGGAAGGAGCACACAGGTAACTCATGTGTCTTAAGAAGCCTCAGATGACACAGCAGCCCAGATGTCATCCTGCAGGCACGTCTTAGGGCCAAGCACTTTGCAACACCCAGTCTTTCCATGGTTTCCTCATGTGATTTGTCAAAGACTCTTGGCACCTCAAGGTGTGTCATTTGAAAGCACCATGCAGGTGTTCTAGCCAGTGTCTGCCCAGCCTGCAGATTGGTGTGGCATCGTGACATGGCATGGTGGCATGGCGTGGTGGGCGTGTGGGAGAGCTGCCTATGAGGGGCTTGTGCTAGCTCCCCATTGTCACTCTTCTCACGATGCTTGCGGGATTGCTTTCTTCCCTAAGTGGTAGGCAGGCCCTGCTCCCCAGGGAAATCAATCCCACTGATCACCTGGTAGATATCCCACCAGACAGGTGTCTACTGTCTCTAAACGTCTACTGCTCTCAAGGATCTTGCCTTTTGGCACAAATGTGTGAAATGGCCCCACTGAGATTTGACCAGGGCTGCTCTCCTGCCATACCTCCCATGCCATCTTACAGAGAGGTGAACTGTCCTTTCAAGGTGTGTTTTTTGGTGTTTAAGTTCGACTTCACATCTCACTTCTAGTTGTCTAAGACAGGACTGATGAATACAGGAGTTAGATACCCAAATATCACTAAAATTACTGGATGCTGGTTGTACGTCTGTGTTTCTTTTGAGAGTGGGTTTATTGGTTTAAAAGCATGCCCAGTAAGCCTCAAACTGAGACCACACACTGTCATCCTTTATCGCTGGGAAGTTTTAGAAAAAATCTCGCCTTCACCTGCACTGTGCTTCAGTGCTCTCATGTGTGAGGTGGAAATGGCCATGTTTTGCTTAATGCACAGGGGTACTGTAAAAATGAAGTGCTCACCTTTCTTGTAAAACTACTGAATAATTAAGTAGGGTCTTAAAATAAAGTACTAACTCCGCAGATGAGAAACTAGACTCGTTTATACAAGCTGCAAAGCTAATCCATTTTTTATTTCTTTCCCATGCAATTCCTTTGGGAAATTAATAGATTTGATTCTTCGTCTGCTTCATTTGCCTAAGTAAATTACAACAGCATCAGCATTGGAGGTTTTTGCTGGCAATCAAATGTGATCCGAATTTATCAACTAATCTTAATATACTTCAAACGAGGAATCGCTTTTGATACGCTAGTCAGGATCTGCCCAAAACAATGCTCCCACAATCAGAGGAAATTGAAAACATTATAAATGGTGAGGCAAGCAGGAGGAGATGACAACAGCTGTTCTCAGTGTCAAGGGTCTTAAAATAGATAGTTGTTCCAAGCAAAACCAAAGACTGAAGGTCTGATCCAAAATCCCTCAAAATCAATAGAAAGATTCCCATCAATATCAATAGACTTCAGATCAGTTTTTACATTAGACTGTGGACATGTCCATTCAGAATTGAATTTTACTTGATCACTGGAGTCCCAGTCTGCCTGTGTCCCAGGCCTAGAGACTCTGGAGATACTTGGTGAAAATCATAGAATCATAGATTCACAGAATGGTTTGGGTTGGAAGGGATCTCAAAGATCATCTAGTTCCAACCACCCTGCCATGGGCAGGGACACCTTCCACTACACCAGGTTGCTGAAAGCACCATCCAACCTGGCCTTGAACACTTCCAGGGATGGGGCATCCACAACTTCTCTGGGCAACCTGTTCCAATGCCTCAATGTAAAAAATTTCTTCCTTATATCTAATCAAGATCTATCCTCTTTCAGTTCACTTCACTTTACACTCTTACCTGGGACCACTGATGTTTTTACTTGGTAACATGGTGCATCCCACAGTGTTGTACCTTGACAGCATTGCCAGATTTCACTGTTTGAGTCTTGTGCTTGCGTAACCTGTTATAATGTCATCCATACTGCTGTGCGGCAACTGGGAGGTTGTATTACCTCCCTTAGCCTTTTATTTCTCCCTCACTGTTCTTCTGTTTTAGGGTTTGGAGTTACATGAGTTACACAGAGAAGTGAAAGGTCACCTCATTTTCTGAAGTAAACCACCTTATATTGATATCTATACTTGCACATAAGAAGAAAGAGACTAAGAGTTAGTCCTAGAACTTGTCTTTCTGATTTTTGTATTATATTTAAATTATTGCAAAGAAACCCAAAGATCTCATTAGAACAACTACGCCTCCATGTGCAATTTGAGCGTAAAGTGGGACATGAACTCAAAACTGCCTTGGTCATGGTGTGCTGACTTCCCATGAGCTGACATCAGGGCAAACAATATAGCATGAACCAGAAAGGAGAGATCCCGAGTTAACAATAGGACATGTAATCCTGATCTCCTTACACTGTGCAGCTTGTCACAGTCTTATTGTCTAATGAAATATAGCAGTATTGCAGCTCTCCATCAAACTGAGTAAGCAGCACTTGCTATGAATGTTTAAATGATCACAGCCAACTAGGAAGATGCTTTCCTTGGTGCTCATGCTGTTTCAGAGCATCAAGGGCTCTAAGAGATTGTAGAGATGCAAAGGAGAGCAGAAGAGTCCAGTAAGAACTTTGTTTTTCCTAGTTTTACAGTCAGGTGGATGCAGGTGAACAGCTATGTGTGAATAGCTACCCTTGCAGGTCTCGTGTATTCACATCCGAAGTTCCCAGAGACAGCTTTCTCCCTTGCTTTGCGAATGAGTGAGCACAATGGCACTGCCCAAAGAAGCAACATTTTTTTGAAATGCTACAGATAGCACACATAATATGTATCTCTGCAGGATGTTGGAATGTTTCAGAATTTTCCCTGCAATCATCTGCAGTAAAGTCTATTTCATACCAATTTGAACTCCCCTCAGTACATAAGATACATTATCTTAAATTGCAAAAAGATGGCAACCCTTCACCCTGCAAAGCTGAATGGAGTCATACCATTCTTTAATTGTTCTTATTCTTCTTCGGGGAGTGGTAGGGAGGAAATCCTAATTTCCTGTCTTGATGATACCTTTCATTTATCTTTGAATTATCTCTTCAAAGCCAGAGTTGCTGTAGATGATGGAAATGAAAAGAAAGGGCACTTTTCCAATTTTAAAATGCTATTACCCGTCCATATGTACAATCTTCCCCCACAGGTTATAAACTGTATACCTGCTCTGAAAGTTTTTATTTCCTGATATGTTCTTCACTCCATCTAGAACACTACTAGAGCAATGAGGCAGCAGAATACACATTGGACAACAAGAAGACGAATGGTGTTGGCTGGACAGCACCGTGACGGAGAGTTGTCACTGATTTCTGGGGCTGCCTGGCAGCAGTTTGTCACACAGATGAGTACAACATTGCTTCACGGGGTAAATACACTTTGGTGTAGAAGCAGGTAAAAGGAAGTCTGTTTTAGAGATGCTGCTTCAGCATCTGCGTCGTGAAATTAAACAATAACAGGTTCGGTTCACGTTTGCTAGAACAGCGTTGCGAGGCGCACTGTAGATGCCTCTGCATCATTGTGGTTGTTCACTTACTGTCATCATGCCATCGAGGAGGCCAGTCTCCGGTTTTGGTGGTGCCTGCAGACGCTCCATTGACCATTTCTCAATGACCGACGAAACTTGCGGGTTCTCAATGTTGAGCAGGCGAAACCCTGTCATGTTTACTCCGCTGTATCTGTAGGGTTCCAGGTCTAATGCAAATAGATCCTAAATCACCATTAAGAAAACAAACAAAACCAGATGTAGTATTTTTAAAGCAAAATGTTTAGAAGGTATAATTAGACCAAAATTTTATTTGATTTTCAATCCAAAGCTCAAGCGCTGTTTTTTTTGTTCCCTGTGAACACTCTGCTGGCCTTCAAAGCCTAGTCATGACTGTTTCTGTTATAAATCTGAATAAAACAAAGCTCTGTGAAATTTGTGACAAACGATATATCTGCTTTGTTGGAATGTAAAAATCAGTTCCCCACAACAACACTATTTTGCAACCAACCTGCACAGCAGTATTTAATTTTAATTTATAGTAGTCCTCTAACAGTCTTACAGCTCTGACAAACCAACATGAGGAATTAGCTGGCCAATGTCAAGCTTATTTCTCAACTTGGGGAAGGAAAATTCCAAGAGATGTCAAGAGCGATACACTTTTACTACTTATGAATCTCATTTTTCTCCTGCCTTGCCTCCTTCAGGTGACTTGCTGCCAGTATGTCTAATGGACTTGTCAGGCCAGTGCACAGTAAGTCCATGTGCTTCAGTGCTTTGCGTTTACAGGGCAGGAAAATAATGGATATTCTAAGTGATATAATTGCGTGGCACACTCCACAGATGTATTTATCAGGCAGTGGAAATATGATAACTGCTTTTCAAAGCCTGAAGGCTGTTTTTCAAAACAATTTTTGCTGATCCCAGCAGGCCAGTAAAATGACAAACGTGTTGGTCATGGTTTAATACCACAGTAACCATCAAAATGTCATCATTTACAATACCACAATGCCAAGATGCCACCAGTGCTGCTTACTGCTCTATACTATCCTATGCATGTTGTTGTTGGTGGTTACTATTTTATGTTAGATTCACTGTGACCGTATAAAACTGTAAGTTCCACAGTAAATCCTAAATTTTCACATTTTTCTTGATGTTAAAATGGCCTCAAAGAGAACCATTTCAAGTTACTACTTCAAGTTCCAAACAGCTAGAGAGTCTTTTCTGACTAATGAATTGACTATTGGATTCAAAATGATTTTTCACTTCCACATAAAATTTTATATAGAATGGAAATAAGGAATAAACTGATGAACACGAACTGATATAATCCAGCCCCCCTAGGATTGTTCTGGCAATATTGGTTATTTGCTGTCTTTCTAGTCTACAATGCAAATGGACCTTAAGCATGGAATGAGTTATATTTATAAATAGCATATAAGTTAAAATACAGGAAAAATGTGCTGAAATAAATATTTATAGATTTGTATAATAAAAGAAAATTAAGGGTTATTTTTTTAATATAAAATTTTCCAAGTGATTCTATACATATGTGAGCTTGTGTTTTTGTAAGTAAGTTAAACATTTTAGTGGTGAACTGCACCGCCCGCGGTGCTTGCCCTCGGCTCCACTGCAAAGCCATTCATTCATTATTTTGTTTCACTCTGATCCACCTGTACCAATGGCTCCTCCTTAAATGCAATAATGCATTTAATTTTCATTGCATTAAAGTGTTAGCCAGTCCCACAGATACTGAAAAAGAGCTTCCTTACAAAATTGTGACTCCTGATATTACTAAGAAGTGTTAGGACTCAGTCTCCAGGGGTTTCCTGGAATAATGGCAAGATCTGCTAGAAAAAGTGTAAATTTTGAGTGGCCTTTTCTGCAGCAGAGAAAATTCACCCCCAAATCTTTAGTGTTCCTTACCAGTGTTGTAAAAAAGTAGTGGTAGTATTCGGTCATCATTCCCATGGAGAGAATCTGTTGAGAGAGGTTGAAAGGTGAATGTACTTTACAATGGATGCTTTTGAGTACTGCACTGTGTCTTTTGAAAAGCATGGGTTAATCTGGAACAATAAGTTACAGGTTATGGAAACTTGATTACAATAAAACCTATGTTTTTCTTCAGGAGCAAAAAATATCATATTGTATTTAAATTATATTTTTATCACCTCTGCTCAGGAAAGAGATTAAAAACTTCTAGGACAAGAAAAATGACTAGCGATAATGAGAAGCTGATTTTTTCAAAAGTGAAATTCTTTAGTCTGCAGTTTAGAAGTGTTACAAAGGAA